ATCATCATCATCATCATCATCATCATCATCATCATCATCATCATCATCATCATCATCATCATCATCATCATCATCATCATCATCATCATCATCATCATCATCATCATCATCATCATCATCATCATCATCATCATCATCATCATCATCATCATCATCATCATCATCATCATCATCATCATCATCATCATCATCATCATCATCATCATCATCATCATCATCATCATCATCATCATCATCATCATCATCATCATCATCATCATCATCATCATCATCATCATCATCATCATCATCATCATCATCATCATCATCATCATCATCATCATCATCATCATCATCATCATCATCATCATCATCATCATCATCATCATCATCATCATCATCATCATCATCATCATCATCATCATCATCATCATCATCATCATCATCATCATCATCATCATCATCATCGTTAATTGTGTGCAAAACTTGTTATAAGAAAACATAATAATTTTGTGGAAAATTTTAGAGGAATTCTTAAGATAATTCTAAAAGAATTCTGTGGAGAATTCCCAGGTTATTCAACTAGAAGTTCAAGGTAATTTTGAGAAGTATTTCAAGAAATTTATGGAGATCGTGTGTAAAATTCCAAGGTGAGTTAGACGAAAGTTCCAAGCGAATTTCGAAAAAAAAAATCAAAGGAATATAATTTTCAGAATAATTCTAAGTGAATTCTAGGAAGAGTTTGAGAAGAATTTGAAAGATAATCCCAAATATATTTCAAAAAATTCTATCAAGGGCATTTTGAGGAGAATTTCAAGCGGTTTAAAGTAAGCCTACGACAATGTTTTGGGAACAACCTGGGATGGATTTCAAGAGCAGGAAACCCCTACAGATAATTCCTAACCAAGGAGTCAAAAATATCTCAAAATGACAAAATGACAAGCGATCAACGAACCGAATAATAACGCTATGTCAGAAGTGGAAAGCAATAATGATATAATCTTCTTCGTTCTTTTTCATGACAAGCAGCCTGTGCGACACAACTCACTCGGGGCGGTAGAAGTAAACGAGCAAATTGTTGGCAAGCTGCTTCACGAAGTAGAGCCGAAGATGATACACGTGTGTTAATGGGAAGTTTTTTGTTATGTCTTTTCTCGATTCATATCAAGCTATGTCCTCATCCGTGTATATTGCAACAAAACAGGCAAGCAATATATCATTATCCTTCTACCACTCGGATCGAGCTTTGTTATAGAGCGAGTTTGTCATGGTAGTCGTAGCAACCGTTTTGTCTGTATCGTTGGTTGCTTTATGTGTTTGGATTCGCTGTTCCTAACCAATTCTGATAAGAATTTCAAGAAAAGTCTGAGGTAGACTTTAGGGGAATTGTGAGGAGAATTTCATGCTTTCTAAATTCTAAAGGACGCACCATGAGATTTCTGTGTACGCGTCTGTATACAAGGAATGAAAAATTTATCCAAATGACAAAATGACAAGCCATCAACGAGCCGAACGATAACGCTTTGTCAGAAATGGAAAGCAATAATGATATAATCTTCTTCCTCTTTTTCATGACAAACTGCCTTTGCAATGTAGCTCGCTCGGGCCGCACAGTGGGACGAAATAAAAAAAAAAAAGGCCATTTGCGACGAAACTATTGAGTGCATCGTTTTGAAGTCTTCTAGAATGTTTCTACAGTTTTTTAATTCTAAATTAAATTTTGTGCTTATGGGAGGTATACACTAAGATAAAGAAAAATAAATTTGTTACATTTTGTTAAAATTGATGATCATCTATGGAAACATTGCAGTTGAAGTCATTTCAAGAAACTTTGTCGAAAATGTCAATTTTCCATCTCTCAAGTGGACTGAGTTATAGGGTGAAAATGGAGTACAAACGGTAGTACAGGCCGGACTCGATTATCCGGAGGCTCGATTAACCGGAGGCTCGATTATCCGGGGCTCGATTATCCGGAGAAAATGGCTCGATTATCCGGAGTCATATTTTTTTTTCCTATCTTGCAAATTATTTTTCATAAACCGCTTGGAAAACCGACTTTCGATCCGAGGACGAGTAACATACATCATTCGACTCAGTCTGACAAGATCGGGAAATGACTATATTTAAGTGTTTGTGTGCATTTGTTACAAAATCCGGCGTTAAAGGGTTTTCGATTAACTTTGACCTGAAAGGAATCCAACATATCATGTGCCACAACAACATACAAAAACTGAATCCCATGATGGTCCGTTCACTAATTACGTCACGTTTCGGGGTAGAGATGAACCAGCCTAAGGCTGAAAGTCTCGTTAATAAAGGAAAAAAAAAAAAAAAACGTCACGTTTCAGGGGGACGGGGAATGGCAACCAAAATTTTTGAAGATCCGTAAAAAAAATGTACCAAAACGTCTTTAACCCTCCGTTACTCGTGCTGTTGTACTTTGTACAACACACATGAGTTTTCCATTGCCATTTTGTTGCTGAGTTACCAATCGATCTGAAACCAACGAGTATTCCTCAAAAAACTTGTTTTGATCTAAACAAGCTAAACTTTGATTACAGTAAACACCTAAAAAATGCTGATAATAGAGAAAATGTAAATGGAAACCGAGAAAACTGTGACCATACTACGTGGGATTTGACTTAATTGATTACAACATGGAATATATCAAGATTGTGACAAGATAGAAAGTTACTGTCTCTGACAAAGTTGTTCAGGAGATCATAGCCTTGTCGCTGGCGGACAGTAGTTCATAATTTTCTCACTACGTAGCGCTAGTATACATGTGAAATTTTTGCATGTGACATATCTCGAGATCCTGACCAGATAAAAAGTTACTGTCTTTCACAAAGTTTTTCAGGAGATCAAAGCCTATTCAGAATTTGCTCACTACGCGACGCTAGTATACACGTGAAATTCTCATATAAAATATCTCGGATTCCAAACCATATAGAAAGGTACTGTCTTCGGCATAGTTGTTCAGGATGTCAAGGCTTTTTCGCAGGTGGACAGTAGTTCAGAGTTTTCTCACTTTGCGGCGCTACTATAGATGTGAAACTCTTGCATATAAAATATCTCTAGATCCTGACCAGATAGAAAGTAAATGTATTCGGCAAAGTTTTTCAGGAAGTCAAGATCTTTTTGTTGGGTGACAATAGTTTAGAATTTTCTCACTATGCGGTTCTAGTATATACGTGTCTTTCTCCCATATTCAATAGCTTGAGATCTTGATCAGCTAGAAAGTTGCTGTCTTCGGCAAAGTTGTTTAGGGGGTCAAGAATTTTTGTCTGGTAAACAGTAGTTAATAATTTTCTCACCACGTGGCGTTAGTATACATGTACACTTCTCGCATATGCTATATCTCGAGATCCTGATCAGATAGAAAGTTGTTCAGGAGGTCAAGGTCTTTTGGCTGGTGGACAGTAGTACAGAATTTTCTCACTTCATGATGCTAGTATACATGTGAAATTCTCGCATATAAAATATCTCACGTTCTTGACCAGATAGAAAGTTACTGTCTTGAACAAAGTTGTTCAGGAGTTCAAAGCCTAGAGCCTTGAAAATTCTAAACTATTGTTCACCAGCCAAAAAAATTGACCTCCTGAATAACTTTGTTGCAGACAGTAACTTTCTATCTGATTAGGATCTCGAAATATAGCATATGCAAGAAGTGTACATCTATGCCACGTGGTGAGAAAATTCTTAACTACTGTTTACCAGCCAAAAATGCTTTGACCTCCTGAACAACTTTGTCGAAGACAGTAATTTTCTCGTGTTATAAAAGTTGGCGGCGTTGGCGCGAGTAACGGAGGGTTAAGATCAGCATTGACTATGTCAGCATCAGACATAACATCGAATTCCGCATTCTCGTCTTCATTTTCGCCTGCAGCCGTTTTATCAGCAACCATCAGTTGAATTGTTACACTATCATCCCTAGAGCACCGGAACTAATAATTGCAATGTTAACATTTCAAAAATATTAATGGAAAATGGTCGAAATTGATCGAGTGCGTCAAGTTAGGAACCGCGTCAAATATGGTGCCTTCACGCCGTGATTTTTAGCCAAGCTCAACTTTGTCTCTACACACTCGTGAGAGTCGCGAGATTACGATTTTTCTCAAGTTGGCGTTGGCTACACGTTCGCTTCTCAAGCGGATGGTCCATGGGGTTCAATTCCATTGATCTTCTTATCGAATTTTGATGTATTTTAATGTAATGCCTCATGATAGGTTATTATCCAAGTCCGATTCTGGTGACTTCCAGGGGCACCTGGAACTTGTCCGGAAGTGGCCAATATGGTCCAAGGTACTTAATTTTTTCCACCATTGATCTGGTTATCGAATTTTGATATAATCTGATGTGTCGCATGATAGGTTATTATTCAAGTCTGGTTCTGGCCACTTTTCCGGAGGCACCCGGAACTTGCCCGGAAGTGGCCAATATGGTCCAAGGTACTTAATGTTTGCCACCATTGATCTTGATATCAAATTTTGGGACCACTAAAAACATTAAATGAGACCACATGAGACCAAAAAAAAAATTTTTTTTTAATGGCTCAATTATCCGGAGTGAAATTTTTTTCAAGACTCCGGATAATCGAGTCCGCCCTGTAGTTTGAATTTTTCAATTTTTTCAAGGTTGTACAAAGTAAGTGATCTAAAAATGCATAATTCAATTGACCCAAGTTCCTTCGCTTACCGAAAACTGAATGGCCGGTTCAACGAAAGCCTGTGGAAGAACAAGTACGGCAGTTGTCCCATCATCAGGAAGTAGTACACGACCCGATTATCGATGTGACCCGCTTCTCAAGTTGGCATCACTTCCACTACGTGTGTAAAGCAGCAATACTGTTCAAGGAACACGATAAGGGTATCTTCGGAAGAGTTTGCTGAAGCGGACAACTTATTGTGGCGACAAGCGCAGGAGGAAGCGTTTTCACAGGAGTATCTGATACTGAAAACAAAAAACGATGGTGAGAACGAACCAATGGTGGACAAATCGAGTCCACGGGAGTCATTAGAATGGGCAGTCGTATTGGGGCTGCTCCATTCGCCCCGTACGAAGCTAAGTACCCCATTATCTTGCCGAAAAAGTATCCGATAACCTTCCTTCTTACTGACAGCTACCATCAACCAAAGGTTCTAAGTTCCTGCTTTGCCGATTGTCAGCGGTGCAAGAACTCCAAAGCGCTTCCTCGGATCCCTCGGATGGCACCGTTACCAAGAGCTCGGCTGACTCCGTTCGTGAAACCGTTTTCGTACGTTGGTATTGACTACTTCGGTCCGATGTTGGTCAAAATGGGAAGAAGTCAAGTCAAGCGCTTTATTCACCTGCTTGACCATCACATGGAGGTCGTCCACACTCTATCGGCGCAATCGTGCATAATGGTATTTCGGCGGTTTGTGGCACGGCGCGGGACGCCTCTAGAAGTGTACAGCAATAACGGCACCTGTTTTGTCGGAGCGAATCGACAACTGAAGATGGAGATGAAGAAGATCAATGAAAACTGCACATCAACATTCACCAATGCGCGCACAAAATGGATTTTCAATCCACCTGCAGCACCGCACTTGGGTGGACTGTGGGACCGGATGGTACGATCTGTAAAAACAGCCATGCTTACCATTGGGGACGGACTGCGACAACCGAACGAGGAAACTTTCAAAACCATTGTTCTAGAAGCCGAAGCAGTCGTCAACTCACGTCCTTTAACGTACATCGCTCTCGATTCGGCTGATCAAGAAGCACTTACGCCGAATCACTTCCTGTTGTATGGGACACAGGGAGAAAATCAACCAGCAGTGCAGCCAGTAGACTATTGTAGCGCGCTGAGAAATAGTTGGAAGCTAGCTCAATGGATGATCGACGAATTCTGGCGCCGATGGACTCGTGAGTACTTACCGGTGCTGGCCAGGCGGTCCAAGTGGTTCGAGCCGGTGAAGCCACTCCAGGTGGGTGATATAGTGATCGTGGTGGACGATATGACGAGGAATCAGTGGCGGAAGGATCACGGAGGTTTTCGTAGCTCCAGATGGACAGGTCAGGAAGGCTAGGATTCGGACAGCGAAAGGGATCATCTTGCGACCGTCAGTGAAGATACATAGCGGTCTTGGACGTCTTCGGCAGTCCCGGACCACACGGGTCGGGGAATGTTGCGACAACCACTGGGTCGTCACCGGGCGATTGTGTGAGCGGGTGCTCCCTCGACGTAGCTGAATGACAGGAGTGTCAACCTTTACAATTGCAAGTGTATAATTATTGTGAGAAGAGCAGTATTTTCACTTAACCACGTTCCAAATTAGATACGAAGTATAATTAAATTATTTGGCAGTAAATTACTACTTTCATTTGATTTGCATAAGTAAGTTTGAGCTATGGTAGTGTTTTAGATCCACATTTATACTAGAGTTCATAAATACGTAAGCCTAAATATATAACGTATGAAATTCTTAACTAACTTGAATTATAACCTAGATTCACCGATAGCTCAAATCATAGATTGATTAGATAATTGGCATCTAAATTTATTCCATTTACACTGAAATGTAAGTATTACGCTATATGCTAAATTTGTTAATCGCCACATAAAACCTTCTACAACTCCGATCAAGCTATATTACAGAGAGAGTGTATCGTGGTAGTAGTAGTAAGCGATTTGTCTCTATCGTTGATTGCTTTATGTGTTTGGATTCGCTGGGTGTATATCCTTTTTAAAAAAATTCTCCGGCGCTCATTTTGAATATTTTCGTTAATTTTAGAACCTTGAAAACTGTTCGAGACACAGAATCTATAAATTTTCTCTATTTCTGGGATATTGAATGCACTTCCATAGAGGATTTTCCCTAATTTGAGATCTCACGTACACTGTTAAACTTAATGAAATTTCAAGCCTCATATACTTGAACAGTTTTCTGAACAGACCCAGGATATTGCAATTTGTTCTCAATCGAAGTCTTAGAATGTTGATTTTTTTTTTTGTTAATCCTGGATCTTGTCATTTTTGTGAACGGATTCATATTTTATTTTAATGTTCGAATTCACAAACTTATTTCAATATATCTTTGCCAGTCGGGTTACCCTAAGCGCAATCTTCCTGTTCAACAATTCTCAAAACGTAAACAAATCTCGCGCTACGCGTTGATCGATTATCTTAATTTTATCTTTCGCGAATAACCCGACTGCAATAGAATTTCCCATTGAGTGTGTTGAGGGATTCCATCCAGAATGAGCTGAAAAAAACTGAAATCGTGCTCGACCATCTTCGATTTGGATGATACTTTGCCCATATTTTCAGTATGATAGACCAAGTATTTTCCGCAGGCGCTTTTCAAAAATTACCCTTGAGTCAAAAGGGTCTCCTCTCCTGCGGAAAATACTTGGTCTATCATACTGAAAATATCATCCAGATCGAAGATAGTCAAATTTGGTGACTGACCGATTTGGCGTGGAATTGGTCTGTTGTTTCAGGCGCAATCCAACATCATCTTCTGTCGAACTGTTCTTCTGCGAGCTTCGCAAGAAATTCATTTATGTTGCCGTGGTAAACCAAAGAAAAAATCGATGAAGAGAATCGATACGCCCTTTTCAAATGTTACGTGAGAAATAAAAAGTTATTGCTTTAAATCGATACAAATTAGTGAAACTAGAAGACCCTATGCTTTTTGGAACCGATTTCGATATGTTTATGGCTCTAAATTACGATTTCAATGTTGTTGAATAGGTAAAAAGAGAGGTTATGAGACGCCACAGATCTTTGCAAATTGCTTAGCATTATTCCAAAATGTCTTTAAAATTACTTTTAGTTTCTTCAGGAATTCTGTGCAGATTATTTTAGGAATTCTCTCAAGAAAACTCTTGAGATTCACTATACATTTATCTTCGTATTCTTAATCATTCTCGCGAGAATTTGCTTTAATTTTTGAATTCACATGGAGAGAGAATTTACACAAGTACTAAATTTCTTTGTATTTCACCTCAAAATTGCATGGGAATTTTGCTTACAATTTAATCTCAAAATACCATTGAGAGGATCTCAGGAATTTTCTTGCACCCAAAATTATAAATGACCTGAGATTCTCGTCTATATAGTCAAGTTCCATTTCCAGAATTCCTTTGGAATTGTCCCTATAATTCATCTACAATTCTCCTCAATTTATTCGACATTCTCATCTTAGTGTAAGAATCCTAAAACGTGTCCTTGTGTATAATCTAATCTAATCTAATCTTATCTAACACCAACACCAACACAGCCAGTTCTTGAAAACATCATGGAAAATGATGAATATACCTCCATCATTTTTCTTGTCTATTTGATATATGTTTCACATCGAAGATGCGTCACACATATCAAATCGGCCAGGCCTAATGTGCAGCATTTAAGGGACAAGATGATTCAGAAAACATCGGGCCTGTCCGAATGCCCCCGGTAAAATGAGTAACGGCAAACTTGTAATGTTTGAAAAATCCTAGTTATTAACAAATTTTAAATCTATTGGTGCCATATGAAACTACATACTTTGAACATCATCTATTCGGTTTCAATAGATATAAAATCTATAGATAAATTGCTGAGCAATGGTTTTTCAAAAAATGACAATTTGCCGTTACACATTTTACAGAAGGCATCGTGTTCGGAATATTTTAATACGCCATTCTCCTAAAGTTTAAAAAAAAATATTAAAAGTAGCCTAGCCTCAAAATGTTGTAATGTTATGTTATCCTAAAAACATTTCGCAGTCCAACAATTAAAACGTTATTCCGTAGATTTCATTTCCCATGCAACCCACATGTTCTATAACAGTTTATATAACCTCTGTATGACTGGTTTTGGTTGTACAGCAATTAACTCAATATAATTCTATAAATTTGCGTTACTTGAGTTTCTCCAATTTTTTTACATTACTGATAAAATTTCGGTCTTTCTCCAGTGACATCAATTGCTGAAATCAATCATGCTGGGAGTGAGTAGTGATTCATCTAAAAAACATTCTATAATGAAGAAACAAAATTCAATGGCCACCCTGAGTATATGTAATATAAGAAAAACAACATCAAGCTTGGTTTATGAGGTCAGTTCAGGGTTAGTCGCATTATTCGGCCAAATTTCCGTTCGACCTAATGTCCATTCGGCAAATCGTCTATTCGGCCAAATGTCTATATGTCAAACGCCCATGTGCCAAACGTTCCGTACTCTATCCACAGGCCTTGCAAATTTATGCTACGATAAGTCCAGTAGCAAGAGGATAAATCAGATGACTTCAGGGACAATCCTTGCGATCTTAAGAGGCAAGTTCAGTGGGAAGATCATGCGTCTTATCTGCCAAGTCTAGAGATCTTGAATGATTTCCAATTCTAGGCTGCACAGATGGGGTACATTTTTTGAGTTAAAGTTTCTGAAGCACTGCTATTAGATCAATTTCACATCAATTTAAATCGAAGTCAACGAAAGAATATTTAAAGGATTTCAGTAAACATTTCCGATTATCAGCTTAGCTTAGTCATCTACTGTCCGTCCGCTTTGTTTGAACAATTCTAACGCCCAAACGCCATACGAAGAGGACCGGCACGAATCGCACTAAGCTTTGTTATTCAATTATTTAACTTCAATTATATTTCCTGTGCTAACAAAAGCCATCCTCCCCGTCAGATGTTGTATCCATCCATTCAGTACCACATTAGAAGGTAAGTAACCGACGACCGACCGACAGACAGCCAAATCCCAAGAAGACACACACACTCGTCGGTCGTTATCCATCACTTATGGCGTTCGTCGTCTCAGTGCGTCTGGGAAGCTGTGAATGAATGACAGCCATTCCGCGTGAATGAACATTCCTCCATGCCGAAATAAGCACGCCGAACCCTTTTGTTCGACAAACAGCAACAACGAGAGCGCTGTTTTTGCATAAATTTTCTCCAGAACACCAAAAGAGGTACTCATTAGCTACAGTCTGTGCCCGCCCGCCACCTTGGAGGTAGGTACTTGTGTATGAAGATGCGAAGCAATGATGTTCCTTCCGTCCGTCTGCTGTTTCAATTGAAGCAAAAGTGCCAGGACCAGGTTTAGAACATTACTCGCGCACTCGGTGTGGTGTGTGCGGTGATTTGAACAAATTGGCAACAGCAGCAGTCCATTCTTGGGCTTGGCAACAGCCAACTGGCTTCAGTTGGGGCCTGTGGGAATCGTCTGGGGCCCGTCGTCGCCAGGATCATCTTGTTCTTTAATCATCACTTTCAGTTTCAATTTCGAAGGATGTTCTTATCAGCAGTCAGTCAGCAGCACTAAACCCACACACAGACACACCTTTTGGCTGAAAGTGAAAGAGAATTGAGGATCTTCATTTAAATGCCGCCTCTCAGCTGACCAACCTACTTGGGCACAGGAAAAGTCCTTGGGAAAAATTTGCTCGCTTTTCAACATCTGATTGCACTGCACTTGCACATATCGGCGTTGTTTGGCTCGATAAGAGCAATTTAAAGTTCTCACGGCCAAGTTCGGTCTCGACTTGTGTGTTGTTGATAGCTCTAGTACAGAAGGGCTTCCAGTCGGGATTCGATGAATGCACTTTTCAACTGGCCTAATTATAGGTATTAAATTAAATTGGGTTAGGATGATCATGCGAATGCGCGAGCAAAACATATTGATTAACGCCGCCGAACACTGACTGACTGCCTGCCTGTTGCCATGCGCAGTTTGGTAAATGGAAGTTTTGGCGTTCTAAGGAGTTTGGCCATTTGTAATTCGTTCAGTAGGAAAATAGGTTTCAACTGTCGAAAGATCTTTTTTGATAAGCTAATTGCATCGGAAATTTACATAATACATACATCAGGTTTCAAAAGTATCATGAGACTAATGAGCAGTTCCAGGCAAAATTGAATCGACCTGCAATGATTCACATTTTTGCTAAAATTCGGCCATTTTGTACCTTTCTGATCGAAACGACGTCTGAGACAATGTTTTAGAGAAAAATAATGTCTTTCTGGTTTAAGTAAAAATTAAAAAAAAAGATAAAGACCTAAATATGTATTAAGATTTTTAGATTTTTAGATTTTTAGA